TGTGACCCGCATAAAGAAACACCCCAAATTGCCCATTCCACAGTCACTAACATAAGTTTTGCTGCTCTGAAGATCAGCAGAGACACAACTATGAAACTCTAAAGTTTTTCCATCCACTCAAGAGCAAATTACACAATCATAAATAGTATGTTGTCACAGAATGCCTCAAAGCCTTGAACCATAGTAATTGCTCCACTGCCATCCATTCAGTGCTAATTATCCATGTAATTTTGAGAACAGTAGCCAAGCTCTAATCAGTTCTAGTGTGCTAGTCAGGTAGTTCCATGCACTATCTAGCCAGTGCATGGAAGCTGTGACGTTCTTTGGGCGACCGTTCTGGAAAAGCACGCCAGAGGTTCTGTGTAAAAAGGTTTTTCAGCTTTTGGAGCAGATAAAGGACATGATTTTTCCTCAGAATGCCTTGTTTTAGAAAAAGGTCCCTTTCCTGTTTGTTAGAACAAAAGATTGCTTTAAAAGATTTAATCTGAGAAGACAATAAACCTTCACACATTTCTTTGCAGCTGTCATTAAAAATGCCAATGTGAGAATTAATTTGATGTTTTAGTTGGTGAATGAAGGAGGCATAAAACACTACAGTGTGAGCAGTATTTGCAAGAATAGATTTCTTTCCTCATTGTCAATTCTGGGACTATGTATTGGTTAGAAAGGACAGGAAAGGTTTTGCTTCTGTGCAGAAAGGCAGCTACTAAAGTCTGTCGAAGAATTTAAAAGTTTTGGGGCAATTTTTAGTGCTTCTTTAGGGCCTTTGTGTGTGTCATTGTGAACTGTGCTATTTTTTTACACAGGAGTGAGATATCTTAAGAAAAATGCTTAATGATACATACTGATATGTTCAATAAGTGTTGATCAGTGACAGGAAATTGGGGAAGTAATTCCCAGTGATTCAGTTACTGTGGTGCTTGTCCATTTGCCAAATACTTTGTCACATCACTCTGTCCTACACAGTAGTGCTCTGCGCTCTCCAGATCAGCAGAGAGAAAGAAACTTACTCCTTGATTGAGAGAAACCATATCTGTACTGCTCTGGCTTTTAGTGAACTCAGTGTATGTGTGATACATGGCAGGAAACACCAGTGTGACTTCTTGGATTTAAAGCACTCTTAGACCTTTTTCTTGCCTTCTTCACCTTCCAACAAAACTCCACTTGTAGACAAAAATTAATGGATACTACAGAAAATAAAGGGGGAATACGGTAATCATCAACCTGAATAAGACCAATATATCCACTACTAAGCTGTAGAAACCAGTTTTAGTGTATAGATTCCTATTGGTTGTTGTTGTTGTTGTTGTTGTATTTTGGTTGGTTGGTTGGTTGGTTGGTTGGTTTTGTTTTTTTTTTTTCCAGTGAAGATATGGGTCCCTGTACTAACAAGATCTGACTGTCTTTAGATGCAAACTTTATTAACTATGTCTATACTTTAGAACCAGGTGCTGGTGTCCTTGTGGTCCTGACTTCATGTAAAGGTGAGAACTAAGTGTGTTCATGGACCCTCCTGCTCCTGCTTCCTCCTGGTTTCCATGTAGAGAGTCTTGGATCCTTCACCATCAGCCCATGCCATATGGTAGTATATCCCCTATCTAGAGGATGTTGGTGGCCAGACTTAGATGTGCCATAGTCCACATTTCTATATAGTTTGTTCAAAAACTTAGTCAAATCCTTGAAAAATAGTCTATGGGTAAAATGTGGGTAGTAGTACACAAATTCTGTTAAAATGTCCACGCTACACTGGTTGAGAAAGATGACAAAGGTTGCGTACTTGCAATAAAAAAGTAGTTATATCAGATAATCTGTCCTCTGAAAAAAACCCCAAAATTCTCAGTACTTAAAACCTGGCTTTTACTCTTGGACATAACTTTCTTTTTTCTCTCTTTTTTTTTCAATAAAGAGTTTAACTAACTGAAATATATCTCAGAATATCTTTGGGCTTTTTAATGCAATGCAAATCAAAGGTAATTTGCTGTGTTGGAGATGGAGAGCTGTCATCAGTTCGTATTTGAATGCAATCTTATACTGCCATACAGAAGTTATTAATTACTGAGCAAATGTGTGCTTGGTACTGTTAACCCCAGGAGAAGATAGTAGCTCTAATCAAACAGGAATAATGTCTTAATGAAACTGCACCTGCAAGGGTGGAAAAAGTGATATTTCCACAGAGACACTTAATAGGAGAGGAGTTGTACAGCCAAATGTCATTGTAGGGCAATGACTGATCATTTATTTGGGAATTTAAGTTCAGCATTGCAGTAACTGATTCCTAAGATCTGTATTAATTAATAGGATTTCAAGTGTTGTTCTGAGATACTACAAATAGTATTAGGTGCCTAAAATTCTTTCAGAATCGAGCTTTTCCCTGCAAGTTAACAATAATCAAAGCAGGTGATCTCTATTATGTCAACCACAAACCTCTCACTTTGGTTATTTTGTAATAAACCTGAAGTCTTAAAGATTAATTTAATGAGGAGAGGAGACGAGACAGTTGGATTCAGAAGTCTTTAGTGTATTGATGCAATGCTGTCTTTCTGCTTTCTGTTATTTTTACAGAATCTTTTCATTGTATTTATGCCCGGAACTTGGACAGAATGTTACTGTCCAAGTTACTGCTGAATGTTACAAAGTCATCCACTTTTCAAGGCCCAGTTATATGTTTTAATTTTCATATCTTGCATGCAAGTAGTATTTTTCACCAGCAGTATTACTTGGTCTTGATATTAAGAAAATAGAACTTGTGTTGCATAGCAGCAGAGTTAAGGCTGCCCTTTAGACTAGGTAAAGACAATATGTGTATGAAGATTTGTGCATAAATGGTAAAGAATGAAATACAAAAAAATATTTAGATTTGTTAGTGTAGGGGCTGCTTTGAAGTACAAACATATTGTGTTCTTGAAAATCAGTTCTGTGAGACTGGTCGTGCTATCTTGACACTGCATCACATTGCACTGAACACCTTTAAAGGGGTCTCAGCTTATTGTGTGACATTTTTCCATTTATATAATGATTAAAATAAATTATATATTATTAAATATGGCACTTTTTGTTCCTTTAAAAAAAAAAAAACAGCATATAAACATTGTCTGCTTAATAGCACAATTTCAGCAAGC